ATATATATATATATATATATATATATATATATATATATATATATATAAAAAACAAAAATGAAGAGAAAAACAAGATAAGTAGAAAACTTATTATCCTGACTATTTATTCGTTCAATAACCATTGCCATGATATCTAATTTGCCCATTTCTTAAATAATATTTCTGGTTTTAATGTAGTAGATCAAATTTTTTCAAGTCCAAGTGTAATAATTTAACTTTTATGGAAAGGCCAAATAAATTTAAACCCCAAAGTAATACAAAATAAAATATTAGTATAAGTATGTAGAGAAGTATAGATTTTTTAAAATCTACATCAGTATACCTTTAAGAATTTGTTTGTAATAGGTTTTGTATTCACACTCTTCCAACAATCATCTGATGCTTTTGTTGGTTTCACATCAACATAAAAACCAATTACAGGACTTCGGCCAACATAAATTGGTGGTTTCCATAATAAAACTATGGAGTCTTTCCTAACTTCGTTACATGACAAATCATGGGGTGGTCCTGAAAGTTAGGAAAAACAACAATACAGAGAAAACTACAATAATTATCAGTGTATAGTTAAAATAGTTATCATCTAGAAAAAATGTAACTAAATTGATTTTAGCTGTGTCTTTGGAAGATTTCTGAAAAAAGGGGTAATAGAAAATAGACACATGAAGCCTATCAGAAAGGGAAGGAAAAAAGAAGTATTAATTTTAATAACAAGCTTTGAGGATTTGGAGTTTATGCAAAAGTGATTAGAACCAGGGGTTACCCCTCCCCCCCAACTTCCAGGGTCAAATTTTTCTAATCAATTCAGAAAGAGGTTAGCAAAGAATTTACTAATATCAGCAACAGTCCTTCCCTCCCTCCCTTATTTCCTTCCTATGAAGCTCCACTCCTGGTTCTAACCTGGAACAGCAATGGTCCATTCTTCACATTTAAAGGATTGGGTAGCAGGAGAAGGTACGCCAACCCCAGCTATGTTAGCTGCAGCCACTTGAAACTGGTATATCATGTTCTCCTTCAAATCATTTATCTGCCACATAATTGGAACAATACAACATGTTAATACATTGTCCTTTAATGGAGTGAACAAAATATTCCAAGTTTTTATTGTTTTAAAACTAAATATTGCTGACATTAAATACTTTGAATAATTGACATAGAAAAAAAACAATGCTTAAGATCCTATGTTCATTTTTTGATTAATGTTTGTATGTATGTATGTATGTATGTATGTATGTATGTATGTATGTATGTATGTATGTAATTATGTTTGTAGATAGCGAATATTA